GAAGTTACGTATTGCTAGTGGCTGTGCACAGAAGTAGTATTATAACAGAGCTCTGCCAGTTTGTTACTAAATTAACAAACTTACCTTCAAAGAAATACTGTACTGTACAGTAGTTGCTAAGTTGAGGGTTCCAAAAATATTATTGAGCATGAATGAAAGGTTAACAAACCTCTTATCTGAAATCCTTGGCCAGATGTGTTTCGATTTCGTAATTTTGGATTTCAGAATGGTTAGATAAGTTAGGTATAAATGAAATCAGGATAAATATACTGTAGTCCATAAATACTCTAGGACAGTTTATTTGTAAGGAAAACATTCAGTAAAACTTCAAACATATACAAGTATGTACAGTATCAGAAACTAAGCTAACATATATACATGCAGTAAAGGTACATTACATCTGGCTTGATGATCATGGAGAAGAGGGTACATCAGCCGCTTGTCATCGCCAGGTTAGAGTCGACATCTGAAGGTGGGCCAGAAGGACTCTCAAGTGATGACTAGAAATTACCTAACAGATATTTTTTAAAGACTTCTTCCAGTGTCATCTGCCTCATTAACAATGGCTTCTTTCTTAGCAGTCTCTTTTTTTAATTGAGTAAACTGCCATAATCTCTTGCTCACTGATAAATGCCCATTGTCTGCCGACAGTAATTAACTGATCACACATTTTCGCCGCTGCCTATGGGGACTTTTTCATCCCGGTTCACAACCATCACCATCACTACTATCCTCATGCAATTTTTTCCATCACTCAACGAATGCACAACAGGTGCACCATTGTCAACTCCTTCAATGTCAGCTTCCTCTAACTTCTTTACACTTTCGGATGATAAACCTTTGGTGAAGTAAGGAGGTTTGATATCATCTTCTCCTTAGTGACATGAAACCCTTCAAAGTCTTCATCTGCATGTTCATCTGCATCATACATCATTGTAGGCCAAAGTTTGTGTCAAGCATTTGTTAATGTTGGTCTATCAACAGCTTCCAAGCATTAGCAACCGCGCAAATGGCATCCTTAACATTGAACTCTTCAGGAGCCTTTTGGATTCCTATGCCTCTGTTGACTGCATCAAGCATACAGTTAAAAAACGTCTTTATACTTGCTCTTCATGGAGCGTGAAAATTCCTTGGTCACAAGACTGTATTAAAGATGTCACATAGGGGAAGTAAATGCCAAAAACACATTAATATTCACAAGTAGTTCAGCAGGGGATTGTGGACCAGTTGTCAAGTAACAGAATTTACAGTTTTTTCCAGTCCAGCTTGCCTGCAATGAGCTCGTGTCGCTGGTACGGAGTGGTTATTGAATCAGTCTGAAAATAATTTTCTGGTTACCCATGGTTTCTTGTTCACATAATAAGGTACAGGTAAATTGTGCACACCATTCAACCATCTCGTCGTTGCCTTTTCCAATCACTGCTAACCTTAACTTGTGTGTGCTCGCAGCATTGGCACACCCAAGAACGGTCAACTTGTCCTTAGCATCCTTAACACCTGTTGGTGCTCTCTCATCAGCCGTTGTTAATGTTTTTCTGGGAACGTAGCGCCAGTCCAGAGCTGTTTCATCAGCATTGTAAATTTGTTCAGACTAAGGTTTTCATCAGATATTATTTTAGCAAACTCGTCAATGTAATTTTCAGCTGCTTCATGATCAGCAGAACCTTTTTCACCACAGATTTCAGATATTTTATACCAAGACACTTAAATTTCTGCAGCCAACCTCTGAATATTCACACTCACCATCAATGTTCAGTTCTATATGGTACTGTATATTCTAGCTTGTTTCATGACCATCAAACCAGTCAGTGGAACACGCTCACTTCTTTCAAGGTCGAATCCACTCAATCAGCCACACGGTCAAGATCTTCATTTTTGCCCTATGCAATGTTTTTTCTGTTTTTCATTAGTTTATGGTCATCACTGTCAGTGTAAAACTTCAACAACTTGTGTTTCTGTTTCTTTAAGTCATATACAGTACAGTGGTAGTTTCCACACCATATTCTTTAGTAAGACGCCACAGGTAAACACCATCAAGCTTGTAATAACTCCAATTTTATGTACTATCGATAATGAGATGCTTCCTTTTTCACTGTTACCCATAGGGTATTCAGTTTGACATTTTCAGTGAAATTAAACAAAATTACACAAAATATTAGAGAACAGCAGATGCAGGTGTGTGACTAGTAGCAACATTAAGACACTAATCCTACTCACACCCGCCGGCCATGGTTGCCAGGTCCCAGTCATGTTCAGCGTCACTGGGGTATGTCATGCACGAGTGATGCTCCACGTGAAAACTTTGGTTTTAGGAGGTTTTCGGTTTTCGGAATTGCGGATCAGGGATTATCAACCTGTAGTGAGGTTAGCTTTTCCATCACTTCTATAGCCATTTCCAAATACAAGCTACTTTAAAATAAACAAAATACATGTACACTACTGTGTATATAGGTAGCTAAGCAAACATAATGTCTAGGTTTTAATATGCATATAATTTTGTGTTCATTACATTTCTGAATAAAAAGAAAAACATTTAACTGTTTAAGTTAAATATATTATTCATGAATCATTCTCAGTTCCCCACATTGTAGGCTTTGTGTGATCTTATATACTGTATACCTACTGTACTTACTGTGGTTGATTATTGAGGTAATTTACACTTTTTTCACAGATTTTTAATGGTTACTAGACTTATATGATATCCAAATGGCAATGTAAAAGTATGGCAACTAGTTTTAATGTTGTTTTGAATTTTGAGGATTTCAAGTTTTGGGCCATAATTTGCCTTGTCTATGAGTATGAACGTAAAGATTGTCATAGATATTGACCATAGAGCCAAGGATGTAAGATCTAGAAAATAATTTTTATGGTAATTGTTAATCAGAAAATGTTTCTGAACAGATTGTATTTTTATTCAATTTTAACAGATCTTGAATTCAGTGATGATGAAGAAGACTTGGAAATCAACAAGTGGTGGAGATACCTGAGGTATTGGTCTTGGGAACTTCAGTATGATCATCATCTGCAAGGACCTGATGAGACCCAGGGTGCAGCTGAGGCTATGGTGCAGCTCTCTGCCCAGTACTCATACTATCAGGTGTGTTAACCATGCACAGTCACTCAAATGTCTATGATTTGAGGATGTTATGGTGTGGTATTGTTTGTCCGCTCATTAGATTTTTTTTGCATATCAGTTACACAGTACAAGTTTCCTCTAACAATAGTTTTAGTTCAGCTACAGGAAGCTCAGAAGAATTTATGTTATACCATGTTGGTATAATCATCATCATTGCACAGTTAAGGTCATATTTTAGTAATGAAAGGCATCACCATCACCAAATTAGGTGGAAATAACGTAGGACCTGGAAAACTATGTCACTAACCAGTTTTAAGGTAAACTTGTACTGTACAGTCATTGTCTTCCCAGGGGATGATTAATTATATACTCTTCTCATTTCAAATAATTAAGTTACTTCTTTGGTATTTCACGAAGGAAAACATGTTTTAGTTACTAATCTTCATGTGCATGAGCATCTAATGATACCAAGATCACTTCTCTTCAGAATAGGCTACTGCCACCTATTTCTGTGTCCAAATTTCATGTAATGATCAGTGACCTTCCTGAAAGAAGGAGCAAAGTCTTTATAATTAGTTAGAAGAGGGAGTTGGACAAAGAAGCTGAGGAGAAATGTAAACTTTTAGTGTGCAAAAATATTATAGGTGAGTGAAAAATATTTCAAAGAATGGTTATGGTATGTTATCAGATGAGACTCTTATTTTTGTTTACTTTTTTATTTCAATGTTATTTATTTATTTATTTTTTTAATTTAGTTCTGTTTTTTATTTTATATCTAGCAGGGTGAAGGAGGTGAAGAATATAACCCAGAGGGACTGGCTGGTGAAGGCAGTATGGAGGTGGATGCTAGCTATGATCCCTCAGTAGAGTTTCTTGGTGGCATGATGCCATCACAGGTGAGTGTATGTGAAGTTGTATAGTAGAACATGGAGTAAGGCTTGATAAGTTTAAGGTAACAAACCTTTAATTTATTTGAATGAAGATATTTGAAATGGTAGACAGTCTGTTAGGATATGCAAGAAAAATATTTTAAGTACAGTATTGTTATTGGATTTTAAATATTTGCTATAAAAATGGTAATGAAAATAACTTTAGTGAGATGTTTGTTTATTATTATGTGAGACTGTGTCAAAGATAAAGTAGAGAAATGGATAGTGAAATTGGATAAAATAGTTAAGAATTTAGTCATAACACTAGTCATGTAACCTTATTTATTTTGGGAACTTCTAGGCAGTCTGTTGAATGATAGAGTTTTGGTCAAGGAAATATTGGCATTTGGGCATACTGTACTGTACACACAATAAAAGATGTAATATGTGGCATGACTGTGGTGAACAGTATGAGTCACCCTGCTGTGAATAAAAACAAATATAGATATGTATATGAATGGGAAGGAAATTAATGTCGGTAAAAATAATGTTCATGCTGAAGATTTTTTGATGACTACCAAAGTTTCAAAGCATGAGATAAAAGTTTATATCTGATGTATGCATTCAGATCTGCCTTTTAAAAGAGTTGAAAAGTAAAATAAATCTAACTGAACTCTTAGCTATAGAAAGAAAATCACTTTCTCATAGTGTAATAATAATAAAAAAAAGGAAAGGGTAATTATTAAAAACTTTCCATATGTATTGGTAACATTTTAAGATATAGCACTGTAGCAAATATTAATTGGAAGGTATATATACTGTACAGCTCTATATATATATACTAGCGGAATCGCTCTTTCGCTAGGTTCAAGATTTCTTAAGAGCATTATAGGTGTTCCAATCTTGAGAGTGAGGTGGTGAGGAGGCATTCCAGCGGGCTCCAAAGAATTAAGGAATTATGCAGGGTACTGGACTGCTTGGTCCAGGTCGATTACTGTATCAACAGATTTGAATGAAGTCTCACTGCCTGAAAGCTGTCTGAGTAGAGTCATGTTGATTTCAGCCACTGTTTCATCTTTTGGTGCCAGAATTGTTGCTCACGCAGCCACTGTGATCCTTGTAGACCATGTTAGTGAGCTCAGTTGAGGACTTTACAACATTTCCACATCCTTTTCAACCTCTGTGTGGTTTAACGGGTCGGGTCGGGTTGTGTGTCTGATCGGGTTGGTTGGGATTTTTGAGATCCCCACATGACACTTGCTTTCCATGCAAGTTTGGTCTGGGCGGCTCATTTGCTTAGGCCACGGTAGGACTCCACCCTCTGGGAGGCTCCACATTGTCTCACTGTTCAGTCCCCAAAACTTCTTTCTTCCATCAATAGTTCATTAACGGTGTATGTAAGTTCCACTCACAACGGTACAGCAAGTATATTTTTAGCATTAAACTGTTATTATTTTATTGTCTAATCATCATTACATATAACACCACACCCATCACTACACATATAACACCATCCATCACTACATATAACACCATCCATCATCACTACATATAACACCATCCATTACATATAACACCATCCATCATCACTACATATATAACACCATCCATCATCACTACAGATCGGTAGTAGGTTCCGAGATTCTCGTATGACACACAAACACACACACTTTTTAAATACAAAGATATATTACTTATACTGATCTTTTAACAGCCACATGATGACGGTAATATCAAATGACTTAGCTGTTTTGACCATGATGAGACAGTCCAGCAGGTGAGACATCAAGAGGATAACCAACAACAAGAGAAGAAGATGACAGAGATGCTTTGGTTCTAAAATGTCTTCATTTCACTTATTGCCCCCACACCCCCATACACATACACACACATCATTGGTTGTTATTCATACATTCCTATTACTGTACTGTAATAGAAGTTTTTCAATGTTATTCCCATTCCACACAAGGCTCTAAATCTTGTTTATAGCTATCTTCACACAATGTCATCTTTCATTTGCATCACATCTTTCCCCAGAAATCACTTGACTTTATTCTTGTTTATTCATACATATTGTTGTTTCCTCGATGCCCAATCCTCCTTCTAGTAAATGCTTCACCTCATTCATCCATCTCTCCTTTGGTGTTCTTCCGCTCCTACCTTCCATGTCTGAATTATACACTATTCACCAAGCCTTACCTCTCATTCTCTCAACATATCCACTTGTCCATTGTGTATGTATTATTTATATATTTTTTATACTATATTACTGACCTCATGCTATTGTTTAATTCTGTGGAATACATCATGAATCTGTGGTATTGATTGATTGGTGGTGGTAATTACATGTTTGGTAATGCAGCTGAATCTGTGGTAGGAGAATAAATTATTGTATTGGGCTGTTAAACCTATTATGAACTTGCATCCAGAATAATATTCTCTTGTAAGACTGTGTTTAGTGAGGTGACTAGTGTATGATGGACTGACTTTGGCTTAGTCTTCATGCTTGTTAAATTCTTAGTACTATACCAAGGATAATATCAAGTATTTTTGTGTGTTGGCAGCCTTCAACTTTTTGTACTGTCAGTTTGGTACTTGTATGCAATAGAGAATTATAGATTTTGTACATATACTGTATATATAATGAAGTTTTGTAACTAAGAAACATTTTAGAATGTGTTTGTCTTAGGCATTGTGTACAGCAATACTGTAGTTAGTGTCTAGAAATTACAATTTAGGGAGATTATGTTAATTATATTTTTTTACTCGGATATAAATCATAATTTTGCACCATATTTAAAATAATATAAAAGTGATTCAAAGAAGAAAAATATCTCATCATTTGAAAAGATAGTACTTTTAAAGAATAATGCTAGGTGTAATTAATACAAAAATATATTTACCTGATGATTTGTGTTAATCAAGAACAATATACACTAGTTGATATATACCATTTTTTATTGTTACCTCAGAAATCCAATGCTAAAATGGAATACTGTACACTTATTCCCCCATATTCGTGAACTCCATATTTGCAAATTCACTATTCGCGGTAGTTGCCATAGTCTGACTGGTCTCCTTGTTTTATAAATATTAAAGATGGAGGCATCTTTAAGGGCTTGGGGGAATTCCTCCTTTTCCCATATATTCTCCAGGAGAGAGTGGAGACGGCTGGTAAGCAGAGGTCCTCCTGCTTTATACCTCGGCTGGGATTCCATCAGGCCCTGTGACTTTGTTATTTTCATCTGTTTGATGGCAGTAGCTACTTCATCCAGGGATGGAGGATAGCTGAGGTGGGTCAGCTCTGGATGCTGAAGGACCACATTGGTGTTTCGGTTGAGCAGTGAATGGTAGTTCTCCTTCCAGTGCTGAATTACCCGCAGGTAAGTGGAGGTAGTAGGTAGTAGGCAGCTACCAAACAGGGAGGTACTACCGCCTGGGAAGATATTGAACATAATGTGTTGTCTAATAGGACCCTGCTGCCATATGGCACCACAAAAATAGACCAAGTCCCAGGTTGCTGATCTGACATTCTGCCTCATTTACACACAATTGCAGGTCTCAATTGTTTCTCTTACTTTGACAACACAACATACAGTATACAGGTTGACAACCCTTTATCCCGAATCTGAAAACAGAGTTTGAAACCTAAAAAATTTTAGACATTTTTTTTTTTTTTTTTAACAGGATTAGCTCACCAAGGCATAGATCCTGACCCACATCGCCTGGGGGCGTAAAAATAGTAATACTAATTATAATAATAATAATTATTCACAGTAAATAAAAATTTAATAAAAAATACACCCAAATAAAATAATAACAATAACACACAATAAGAACATATAGTAATAAAATTAATAATAATAATAATAATAATACTGTATTAATAAAATAATAATAATAATAATAAAGAATACAAGAATGAAAAAGATAAAAGTGAGAAACACAACCCAGACCTATGAATTATTATACATTATTATTATTATATTTTACCCCAGGCCCCAATGGGTCAGTGACTTGTGCCTGTGGGCCATTATAAAAAAAATCTGAAAAACTAAAGATCACGAAACCCAATACCTTGGCCCCAGGATTGGGTAAGGGATTAACCTGTATATCTTTCACTACAGTAATGATCTTTTTTTTTTTATAATTATATTATTATTATTATTATTACAGTATTGTTAGTAGTAGTATTATTGTTATTATTATTTTATTTTTTGTTTTGCATTTTTGTTAGCACTCTCTGTTGTTGTTGTTGTTGTTGTTGTTGTTGTTGTTGTTGTTGTTGCTTGTTGCTGTTGTTGTTGTTGTTGGTTGTTGCTGTTGTTGCTGTTGTTGCTGTTGTTGTTGTTGTTGTTGTTGTTGTTGTTGTTGCTGTTGTTGTTGCTGCGTTGGTTTGGTTGTTGTTGTTGCTGGTTGCTTGTCATTGGTCGTTGGTTGTCGTTGTCGTCTTCGTTGTTCGTCGTTGCTGTTGTTGTCATTGCTGTCACGCCGTCGTCGTCGTCATTGTCGGTTGTCGTCGTCGCCGTCAGTCGTCGGCCGTCGTCGCCGTCGTCGTCGTCGTCGTCGTCGTCGTCGTCGGTCGTCAGTCCGCCGGTCGTCGTCGTCGTCGTCGCTCGCCGGTCGTCGTCGTCGTCGTCGGTCGTCGCTCGTCGTCGTCGTCGTCGTCGTCGTCGCCGTCGTCGTCGTCGTCGCTGTCGCCGGTCGTCGTCGCCGCCGTCGTCGTCGCCGTCGTCGTCGTCGTCACGGTCGTCGTCGTCGTCGCCGTCGTCGTCGTCGTCCGCCGCCGTCGTCGTCGCCGTCGTCGCCGTCTGGTCGTCGCCGTCGGCTCGTCGTCGCTCGCTTCGCCGTCGTCGTCGTCGTCGTTGCCGTCGCCGTCACGTCGCTGCCGTTGCTGGTTGTTGTTGTTGCTGTTGCTGTTGTTGCTGTTGCTGGTTGCTGTTGTTGTTGCTTCGTTGTTGTTGCTGTTGTTGTTGCTGTTGTTGTTGCTGTTGCTGTTGTTGTTGTTGTTGCTGTTGTTGTTGTTGTTGTTGTTGTTGCTGTTGTTGTTGCTTTCGTTGTTGCTGTTGTTGCCGTTTTTCGTTGTTGTTGCTGTTGCTGTTGCTGCTGTTGCCGTTGCTGCTGTTGCTGTTGCTGTTGTTGGTTGTTGTTGCTGTTGTTGCTGGTTGTTGTTGCTGCTGCTGTTGCTGCTGTTGTTGGTGTTGCCGTTGTTGTTGCTGTTGCTTGCTGTTGTTGTTGTTGTTGTTGCCGTTGCTTTGTTGCTGGTGTTGCTGTTGTTGTTGTTGTTGTTGTTGCTGTTGGGTTGTTGTTGCTGTTGCTGTTGTTGTTGCCTGTTGCCGGGTTGCTGCTGTTGCTGGTTGTTGTTGTTGTTGTTGTTGTTGCTTGCCGCTTCTGCCGCTGCCGTTGCTGGTTGTTGCTGTTGTTGTTGTTGCTGTTGTTGTTGTTGTTGTTGGTTGTTGTTGCCGTTGTTGTTGGTTGTTGTTGTTGCTGTTGCTGGTTGTTGTTGTTGCCGGTTGGTTGCTGTTGTTGTTGCTGTTGCTGTTGTTGCTGCCGTTGCTGCCGTTGCCGTTGTTGTCGTTGTCGTTGCCGTTGCTGTTGTTGTTGGGCGTTGCCGTTGTTGCTGTGTTGGTTGTTGTTGCTGTTGGTTGCTGTTGTTGTTGTTGTTGTTGCTGCTGTTGTTGTTGTTGGGGTTGCTGGTTGTTGTTGCTGTCGTTGCTGGTTGTTGTTGGGTTGCCGGTTGCCGTTGCTGCTGTTGTTGCTTTTGTCGTCGTCGTTGCTGTTGCTGTCGTTGCCGTTGCCGTTGGTTGCCGGTTGGTTGTCAGCCGTTGCTGGTTGCCGCTTGTTGTCGTTTTTCGGTTGCTGCTTGCTGTTGTTGCCGTCGTTGCCGGTTGCCGGGTTGTCGTTGCTTGCCGTTGTCGTTGTCGCTGTTGTTGTTGTCATTGTCGTCGTCGTCGTTGCTTGCCGGTTGCCGTTTTGTCGCCGTTGCCGCCGTCGTCGTCGTCGTCAGTCGTCGGGTTTCGTTTGCTGTTGCCGTCGTCGTCGTCGCTCGCCGTCGTTGCCGTCGTTGCCGTCGTCGTGTCGTCGTTGCCGTCGTCGCCGCTCGCCGCCGTCGTCGCCGCTCGTCATTGCTGCCTGCCGCCGTTGCTGTCGTCAGTCGCTTGCCGTCGCCGGCCGTCGTCGTCGTCGTCGCCGCCGCCGTCGTCGTCGCTGCTGCTCGTCGTCGTCGGTTGCTGCCGCTGCCGTTGCTCGTCGCTGCCGTCGCCGCTCGTCGTCGCCGTCGGTTGCCGTTGCCGGTTGCCGAGTCGCTGCCGTTGTCGCTGCCGTCGCTGTCGCTGCCGTCAGTTGCCGGTCGCTGCTGCCGGCCGTTGCCGCTCGTCGGTTGCTCGCTGCCGCCGTCGTCGCCGCTGCTGCCGGTTGTCGCCGGTTGCCGTCGCTGCTGTTGTTGTTGTTGTTGCCGTTGCCGGTTGTTGCCGTTGTCGCCGGTTGCCGCCGTTGCCGCCGCCAGTTGTTGCCGGTTGTCGTCATTGCCGTTGCGTTGCTGTCATGGTTTGCTGCCGTCGCTGCTGTTGGTTGCTGTTGCCGTCGTCGTTGCTTCGTTCCGCCGCTCGGTTGCCGTCAGCTGCGTCGTTGCTGTTGCCGGTCGTTGTCGTTGCCGTCGTCATTGCTGGCTGTCGTCGTGCTGTCCGTTGCCGTTGTTGCCGGTTGCCGGGTTGCTTGCCGTCGGCCGTCGGGTCGCCGCCGCTGTTGCCGCGCCGTCGTCAGTCGCCGTCGTCGCCGCCGTTGCCGTCAGCTGCTGCCGTTGCCGTCAGTTGCCGTTGCCGTCATTGCCGCCGCCGCCGGTTGCCGTCGTTTGTCGTCGCCGTTGCTGTCGGTCAGCCTCGCCTTGTTGTCGTTGGTTGGTTGTTCGTTGTTGTTGTGCTTCGCCGGTTGTTGCCGTTGCCGCTGGTTGTTGTTGTTGTTGTTGTTGTTGTCGTTGCTGGTTGCCGTCGTTGCCGGTTGCCGGTTGTTGCCGTTGTCGTTGCTGGTTGCTCGTTGCCGCCGTTGCTTGCTGGTTGCTGTTCGTCGTTGCTGCCGGTTGGTTGTTGGCGTCGCCGTTGTCGTTGTCGTCGTCGTTGGGTTGTTGCCGCCGTTTTCGTCGTTGTCGTTGCCGCTTCGGTTCGGTTGTTGGTTGTCGCCGGTTGCCGGGTTGCTGGTTGTTGCCGGTTGTTGGTTGGTTGTCGTTGCCGTTGTTGGTTGTTGTTGCTGGTTGCTGGTTGTTGTCGTCGTCTTGGTTGTTGTTGTTGCCGTCTCGTCGTCGTCGCCGTCGTCGCCGCCGGTTGCCGTCGTTGGCTGCGTTGCCGTCGTCGTCGTTGTTGCCGTGCTGCTGTTGCCGCCGTCAGTTCGTTGTTGTTGTCAGTTGCTGCTGCTGTTGTTGTTGTTGGTTGTTGTTGCTTAGCCGTTGTTGCTGTTTGGTTGCTGCCGTTGTTGTTGTTGTTGCTGTTGCCGTTCAGTTGCCGTTGCCGTTGTTGCCTTGTTGTTGTTGTTGCTGTTGTTGTTGCTGTTCGTCATTGGCTGTTGTTGTTGCTGTTGTTGCCGGGTTGGTTGTTGTTGCCGCCCGGTTGCTGCCGCTGCCGTTGTCAGCCGTCGCCGGTTGCCGTCGTTGCCGCTGTTGCCGCCGGTCGTCGTTTGCCGCCGTTGGCCGGTCGTCGTCGGTCGTTTGGTTGCTTGTTGTCGTTTCGCTTCGCCGTTGTCGCTGTCTGTTGCCGTCGCCGTCAGTTTGCTTGCTTCGCCGCTTCGTCGCCGGTCGTCGTCGTTGCTGCCGTCGTCGTTGTTTGCCGGTTGTTGCCGTTGCTGTCGTTGTTGTCGTCGTTGCCGCTGCCGGTTTGCCGGTTGCTCTTGTTGCTGGTTGTCGTCGTCGCCGTCTGCCGTTGCCGTCGTCGCCGTCGGCTCGGTTGCTTGCTGGTTGTTGTCGTCGCCGTCGTTGCCGTTGCCGTCGGTTGCTGTTTCTGTCGCTCGCTCCGTCGTCAGTCGGTTGCCGGTCGTCGTCTGCCGCCGCTCGCCGTCGTCGGTTTTCGGTTGTCGCCGGTCGGTCGCCGTCGGTCAGTCGTCGTCGCTCGTCGGTTGCCGTCGCCGTCGGTCGGTTGTTGTTGTTGTTGTTGTCGTTGCTGCTGTTGCTTTTCGCCGTTGTTGTTGCTGCTTGCTGTTGTTGTTGTTGTTGCTGCTGGTTGCCGTTGCTGTCGTTGCCGCCGTTGCTGGTTGTTGTTGTTGGTTGGTTGTTGTTGTTGCTGTTGTTGTTGTTGTTGTTGTTGTTGTTGTCGCTGTTGTTGTTGTTGTTGTTGTTGTTGCTGTTGCTGGTTGCTGGTTTGCTGCCGTTGGTTGTTGTTGTCGTCGTTTCGTTGGTTGTTGCCGTTGCTGCTGTTGTTGGTTGCTTGCTGCTGTTGCTGTTGCTGGTTGCCGTTGCTGGTTGCTGTTGTTGCTGTTGTTGTTGTTGTTGCTGTTGTTGCTGTTGTTGTTGTTGTTGTTGTTGTTGCTGGTTGTTGTTGTTGCTGGTTGGTTGTTGGTTGGTTGTTGCTGCTGTTGGTTGGTTGTTGCTGTTGTTGTTGGTTGCTGTTGCTGTTGTTGTTGTTGTTGCTGTTGCTGTTGTTGTTGTTGTTGTTGGTTGTTGTTGTTGCTGTTGTTGTTGTTGTTGCTGGTTGTTGTTGTTGTTGCTGTTGTTGTTGTTGTTGGTTGCTGGTTGTTGCTGTTGTTGTTGTTGTTGTTGCTGTTGCTGTTGTGCTGTTGTTGCCGTTGCTGCTGGTTGCTGCTGTCGTTGCTGGTTGCTGTTGTCAGTTGCCGTTGCGGTTGCCGTTGCTGTTGGTTGCTGCTGGTTGCTGCTGCTGGTTTTGCTGCTGCCGGTTGTTGCTGTTGCTGGGTTGCTGCTGGTTGCTGCTGTTGCCGTTGCTGGTTGCTGTTGCTGCCGTTTTTCGCTGTTGCCGGTTGTTGCTGTTGGTTGTTGTTGCTGTTGTTGCCGGTTGTTGCTGCTGGTTGCTGTTGTTGTTGGTTGTTGCTGTTGTTGTTGCTTGCTTGCCGTTGGTTGCTTCGTTGTTGTTGCTGTTGCTGGTTGTTGTTGCCGTTGTTGGTTGTTGCTGGTTGCTTTTTCGTTGCTGTTGTTGGTTGTTGCTGTTGTTGTCGGTTGCTGTTGTTGCTGTTGTTGTTGTTGTTGTTGCTGGTTGTTGCTGCTGGTTGCTGGTTGTTGCTGTTGTTGCTGCTGGTTGCTGTTGGTTGGTTGCTTGCTGCTGTTGTCGTTGCCGTTGCTGTTGGTTGCTGTCGTTTTGTTTGTCGTTGTTTGCCGGTCGTCGGTTGTCGTCGTCGGTCGTCGTCGTCGTCGTCGTCGTCGTCGTCGTCGGTTGGTTGTCGTTGTCAGTCGTCGTCGTCGGTTGCTTCGTCGGCCGTCGTCTGGCTTGCTCGTCGTCGTTGTCGTCGTCGTCGTCGTCGTCGCCGTCGTCGTCGTCGGTTGTCGTCGGGTTGCCGTCAGTTGCCGGTCGTCGTCGTCGTCGTCGTCGTCGTCGTCGTCGTCGTCGTCGCCGTTGTCGTCGTCGCTCGGTTGCTTCGTCGTCGCCGTCGTCGTCGCCGTTGCCGTCGGTTGCCGTCGCCGCCGTCGCTGTCGTTGTCGTCGGGTTGGTTGCCGCCGGTTGCCGCTGCCGTCGCTCGCTGTCGTCGGTTGCTGGCGGCCGCCGTTGCCGGTCGTCGCCGTCGTCGTCGCCGCTTCGCCGCTCGCTTCGGGTTGCTGCCGGTTGCTGGTTGTTGTTGCCGTTGTTGTTGCTGCTTTGTTGGTCGTTGTTGGTTGCTGGTTGCTGTTGCTTGCCGGTTGTTGCTTCGTTGCCGGTTGCTGCTGTTGCTGTTGTTGTTGCCGTTGTTGTTGCTGTTGTCGTTGCTGGTTGCCGGGTTGCTGTTGCTTGCTGGTTGGTTGTTGCTTGCCGGGTTGCTTGTTGTAGTTGCTTGCCGTTGCTGGTTGTTGCTGTTGCTGTTGCTGTTGCTGGTTGTTGTTGCTTTTCTGGTTGCTGGTTGTTGCTCGTTGTTGGTTGCTTGTTGTCAGTTGCTGCTGTTGCTGGTTGCTTTGCTGCTGTTGGTTGCTGCCGTTGTTGTTGTTGTTGTTGCCGTTGTTGCTTGCTGGTTGCTGTTGTTGCTGTTGTTGTTGCCGTTGTTGTTGTTGTTGTTGTTGTTGTTTTGTTGCTGCTGGTTGCTGTTGTTGCCGTTGCTCGTTGTTGTTGGTTGCTGGTTGTTGTTGCTGTTGTTGCTGTTGTTGTTGCTTGTTGTTGCCGTTGGTTGCTTGCTGCTGTCTGTTGTCGCCGTTGTCTGCCGTCGGTTGCTGTTGCTGCCGTCGCTGCTCGTTGCTTCGTTGCTTGCTGTTGCTGTTGCTGTTGGTTGGCTGGTTGCCGTTGTTGTCGCCGTTGCTGGCTGGTTGCTGTTGCCGCTGTTGCTGTTGCTGTTGTTGTTGCTGTTGCTGTTGCTGTTGTTGTTGCTGTTGCTGTTGCTGCTGTTGTTGCTGTTGCTGCTGTTGCTGCTGCTGCTGCTGCTGTTGCTGCTGCTGTTGCTGCTGCTGCTGGTTGCTGCTGCTGGCTGTTGCTGCTGTTGCTGCTGCTGCTGCTGTGCTGCCGCTGCTGCTGCTGCTGCTGCTGCTGCTGCTGCTGCTGCTGCTGCCAGCGTTGCGTTGCTGCTGCTGCTGCTGCCTAGGACCCCGATGTGGGTCAATGACCTGTGCCCGGTGGGCTAATCCCAGTAAAAAAAAAAAGTTACTGTGCAGACATTTGTTTACAAGGCATATACTGTTCTCAACTACAGTAGGCTCTCGCCAATAACGACTTCCACAATAACGTTTTCGACAATAAGGGTAAGTTACAATAGATACCCATTTTCGATAATAACGTCTGGATTCTCTTGAATAACGGAAATTTCGCGGGAAGCGTCCGAGTGCATCAATGATAGCATTTGTTTGCCGCCATGTTGATGACATAGTTGTCCACTCCGCCTCACTCTCACTGTCACACACACTCAGTGGAATACTGCGCTGCGCCCACGTGTGAGATTTTCGCCACTATAACCAGTGGTTGTTAGGGTCAGTGATCAATAATGGCTTCCGCATTTTTGCTTGTGGGGGCTAGGGGAGGTGGTGGAGGGAGTGATTTGCCACCTGAATGACAGGGAACTTTTAAAGTGAGGAAATTGAACTGTCCTGAGTCTACAGTGCGAAATATTAAGAGGAACTTAGAGGAGACCAAGAAGAGTATTGTGCTGGCTAAAAATATTTCGGTAGTGATGGAAATGCGAGGCGAGCTATGAATGATAAAGGCGATAGAAACAGGTTGTTAGTGATAACAGAGCATTTTCTTGTGAAATGGTTAGCTTGTAGAATGAAAGACAGTGCAAGTGTTAGCGGCCCTCAGATGTGGAACAATCATCACACCGAGCACCTCAAAAACTAAGTGTTATATTACTCAAACTCTTTATTATGATGATTGAATAGCAAATCTTTTTATTTCAGCTAACAAAAAGTGTTTGGAGGGCTTCAAGGGGGAAAATGGGTGAAATTCTTGTGGCAGCAGCACCAATAAACCCTTTTTACATGTATTTTAATGTCACACAAATAACGTTTTCGCTAATAACGGTGTTTTTCAGGCACCTATTAAACGTTATTGGTGAGAGCCTACTGTATAATGGAAAGGAAGACATGTTAGGTTAGGTTAGATTAGGTTCATCTTGTGAGCATATGTCATGGAACCCATATACAGTAGGTATATTCATGAAATTCTATCAACTTATCAGAGACTAATAATATTAAACATAGAACAAGATGATAATTAAATGGTTTAAAAATATCCTCAATACAGTCTGCAATAATAATAAAGATAAGAATACAATGATAATGCTTATGTCAGAATATATAGCCTTTAATAAAAGCAGGCTATGTTATAATATATGGATGATCAAGAGTAAAGTATTTTAAAACAAAAATCATCCACAAATTTCACAAATATATTAATACGTAATATCCATGTATGCATGCGGAGTGTAAAATAAAAATAAAATTTTTTTAAGGCATATGTTATGATTTCTCCAAGGCATATTTTTTGAAAATACCAGAAACTGCATTTTTTCTGGTCTATGAGTAATTTGAGGATTTTACGGAGTCTCCAAATTTTTCTGTTCCGAGTCTGGGAACCAATTCCGAGGTTAGGCTAGGTAGCAAATTCAAAAATCCTCCCAGGAACCGGAAAAATTCCCCATCAATCATGATACCAAGATTTATTTCTTCAGTATTGGTGAAAGGTGAATAGTCAGCTGTATCTCCACCTGTAAGTGAAAATAAAGTCATTAATATTGTGTTAGTTAAATTTGCGAATTCTGAAACATCTTTATTTATGAGAGTTAATATTCATAAGTTTCCACACCTAAATATTGTGGGTAATTTTGTCTGTTAAAAAAATTAATAAAAAATTCCAATGGAAACTCAGATTTGTTTGGTTTGATGTGCAGAACACTCAAAAAATTGATTTTTTTTCTAATGTAGATTTTTATGGTGATTCCAAAACTTTATTCCCCTTTTTTGGAGAAATTCATAGAAAAAAAATAACCTAACCTACCTAACTTAACCTAACTGGAAAACATTGGTCAACATAAAATCATAAAATTCCATGGATGACCGAAAAGATAATAAGACCTTAAATTTCATTTATTTTGGAAGACATTATTCATTTTTTTTTGAATCATGGACATACAGTACAAAGCCAATATATCTGCACTTGATTCTACCACTGTCAATGGCAAAGTTAATTATTACCACCACTCCAAATGTTGCACAAAAAGTGTAAGGTAGTTCTTTCTTGCAATACATTGAGTCACTAAGGGATTTAAAAAAAAAAGAACATGACTTTATGTCACTGAATTTATCTTATTAGTAACAAATTGTGGTTAAACTGATACACAAATGAAACATGCCTGGGAACTACCTGGCACTGGTTACCTGGCATATTTGGACTTATTAAAATATGAAATTTAGGCTAATAAGTATTTATACTAATGAAATAATTATTTTGGTAGTGCTGGACGGTTATTAATTGCGCTCATTACGAAAATTGGGTCGATATTATTTCTGATAAGGGACGTCATTCACCCATCCCAGATGGAGCAGTTCTCACCACTCTTCAAATAGACCATTTATGACTTTTTTTTAGCTTAATTTGATTTCCATACATTTCTACACATAAATTATTTGGATTAGTTATCTTAAAGGTTTACCTTTTATGATGGTTAGGAGAATTTGGAGGATATAAGCGGCGCTGAGACAAGTAGATGCTGGCGGATGTTCCTACACAAACATGGAATTCTTTTAAAAAGAACACAAAAATTCTTTATGTGCTGTTCTATATGGAGAATATCTTATAAAAAATATTATTCCTTTGCAGATTTATACAATTCATGTGCATCCAATTCCATTTCTTTTCTTTTGGCTTCAAAAAGTTCCATCGTAGTGGTCATCGGGCGGGGGTACGAGTACCACGGAAATCTCCTAAGTTCCAGTAACGAATTGTAGATGTATATCTATTTTTTTAGCCCAAAACGCTTCTTGCCCACCAACCATGGGGTTACTACAGCATGGTATACACCACGGAGCTTCTTGCAATTGGCCCTTGGTGCCACAAAGGAAGTTCTTCTTTTGTGTATGTGTTTTGTGAAGGACTGAACTGTGATTATGATGACCATCCATAAGGATATATAGTGTATAATGTATATAGTGATAGTACATAGAGATAATTTCGTTGGTGAGAGCTGGAAATGAGAAGTATAGTTTAAAAAATATCGAACTGTCTCCAAGGCATTATTGTCACCGCAAAGAACTTTTTTTTTCCTGTGTGATATGGAGGAGTGTGATTGTGCATATGATCCACCATTCATAAAGAGATGCAGTGTTCATAGTGGCATCACATAGATCCCGTCGAGGAGAACGAAAAAAAAAACAGAAAACAAGCAAAACTGTCCATAACGGCGTCACTGGAAAAGCGGAACTGCCAGCGAGGTCAAGACCGGCAGAGCAGCAAAGTGATTATTTTTAAATAAAATTAGTCTGTCATAAGGGCATGATCACTCATACATCTTAGTTCACTTAGATTATAATTAGTAGATGTGATTATAAAGGAAGTCGTTCCAGCGAGGGGGAAATTTGTCTGTCAGAGGAATTAAGTGTGAGTCCGGTGGTTGACATCATTCCCCCCCCACCCCCTTCCTAGCCGTTACCATCACCTCTTCCCTCCCTGACCAGATATCCCTCCTCCTAGTCACAGGCCTGGCACTTGACATTATTAGGGACCTGCCACGCTTTGCCATAAACAGATGAAATGTACCGGGAACTTTCCCCCCACACACTCATCATTCTATCACTTTATGTAACTTGCTGACAAAACCTATGACCCTTAAGGCATTTTACGCCCTTAATGCACGAGTCATAACTGCAAGCATGAACTTAGCATGCTTCCCCGATGGGCACTGTAAACGCTTCAGCGCTTTACCTTGCACAGGATGTAAGCGGGTGCCCAATAAACTAGCCCTCTCGGGGGCAATCTAAATCTACTCGCCAGTCAAGGAAGTCTATGCGAATGCCGCAGCGTGGACTTAATAGGGACCTTGACACCAAAGCTCTGTGACCAAGACACATAAGAAATTATCACAGTAATAATAAAGATTATTATCATTGACCTCCCCAACCGCAACAACCATGGGGGGTAGGAAATCAGGGGCTTAAGAGGCACCAGGAAATCTGTTGACATGTGATTACTGCAGGGTGACGACGGATGTAGATTGTACGGACCTGACCAATGCAACTTTTAAGGCGTTTAGGAAGATACTGAATGCTGTAAGGCATGAGGGCTGTTACTGGTATTGCCCTGACTGCATAGTTAAGGTGAAAGAGGCCATTGCAAGCCATAGGGAAACGAGTTTCCTATGGACGAAAATAGATGAAACTGGATCCTTGTTGGTTGCCAAATTAGAACAAGTTGGGAAAGAGATCCTTGCTAAGACTGAGGAAATATCAGATAAAATGGTGGTGGTAGTGAAGAGGAGTTATGCTCAGGCCTTAGCAGGGCCACGGGAGGTGACGGAGAGTAATGCAGGATCAGAGCAGGTTCTACAGCAGCTAGGGACTCTGAAGAAGTGTGTCGAAGAGATGGCAACTAGCAGACCTATTGTTAAGGGAGAGGAGGAATAACGGGAACGTTTCCAGCGCAAGAACAACGTAATAGCTTATGGAGTCCCTGATAGCCTGTCGGAGGAAGCTGAGAGTTGAATTGAATTGAATTGAATTGAATTGAAACAGTTTATTTAGCCAGAAAAACACAGATACAGAGTGGATAATAATAACAATATTAACATGGCTGAGCCAGTTGAGAACCTGAGCTCTATTTTAGGCACCTGATTTATACTATACATTTATCTCAAGGAAGCATTATGTAACATTTAGTAACATCTGGAATAGTACAATAGCATGGTGGTAATAAGAACATCTCATAATGTTAACACGGTTATCACTTCAATATTTATTTATT